TGGATTTTATTGAGGGCAAAGATTCTGGGAGTTTTTTTTTTTATTGGTGAGAATTTAAAATTTGTATAACTTCCTTGTTACTGAAAGATGTAATTTCTCGATGGTGCAACACGAAGAGAAATTTCTGGACAATATTTAGAAGTGTCATATCTTCTGGGATATAACGCCATGTAGTCAACTGAAAGTCAACCGATGTTCCGGAGGAACATAACGCCTCCATCTTCATTGTCGAAGAATGAGCCAAGCAAGAAACCAGCAAGAGCAGGCAGCAAGCAGTGCTAACGGTTGCTCAAGGTAATTAAGAAACTCTCAAAATTTGAGGAGTTAATTACGGAAAAGACTGTGGCTAGTTGATCGGGGGGTGCAGCACATAAAGCTGAGGAATGTGTGAACGCATTTTGAAATTACAGAAATTATAATGAGGGAAGATGGCTACTTCCGCTGGACACAGTAATAAAATAAACACAGCTTTTAGTGATGAACGTCGTGATGTGTTGGACTGGTCTGCAAGGCGAAACTGTAAATGTCGGCGATGTTGATAGATTCACCAAAAGTAATCAGTCTACCACAACGCACGATGTTATCACCCAAGAAGTGAAAGTCTGTCGGCTGGTGTGGTGGGCAGAAGGGAAGTTACCTACGGCCCAATGATGAAGACTCGCTCTCTGCAAAGGGTCCAGCTGAGTAGCCACTCTCACATCCAGTTTCCGAAATGTTGTAACTGAAGAAACCCATGATGATTGATAATTAATAATCATATTAACAAATCATTGTCATGAACATTTAGACTTGGGGGTGAATTATGCAAGAAATTTCGGACAACACATAAACAGGAAATTTGTGATCTGCACAGACGGTAGTGAAGTGCGAGGGTTACGGTGGTTTGGGTGTTATTAACCTATCGTAACCTTCAGATGTGGGAGGTAAGTAACACATGCAGCTGGCTGGTGGAGAAATCTTTTGAAAAGAGGTCACTTGGAAAACCCAGAATGAGATCGGCGTATAACATGGAGACTTATGAGCTGAATACAGTTGGCCAAGATAGTGCCCAACTGTGGAATATGGCACTAGCGGCATTAAATCTTCAAATTTTACCACAAGAAATATAGTTCGTTAAATAAAGTAAATACAACATAACAAGAAAGCATACACAAAATAAAATGCAGTTAATTATATGTAATAATAATGTATATGTGGAAGTTGCACCTAAACGAAATATTTGTTATATTGGTAGAAGCGGGTATCTTTAATTGCACGTACGGATGTAAATTACTTAATTAGCCTACCTGGTGCAAGTGGACGAAAACTGAAATGTAGCAAGACCAAGACTTCTACAGTACTCTGCTAGCAACACGCAGCCAGATCACATTGCGTGTACATCAATTTTATGTTCAAGTGAACCATCATGATTTACAGAGTGTTAGAAGAACTCAGTGTAAAATGGTACAAGAAAATTTAAGTCTGTGTTATACATAGATTTTTAGTGACAAATACCATAGATTGAAGTTTTAAGAATAATTACCTTTAGGACTCATGAATCTATTTTTTTTTCTTCACATTTTTTAGGAGGGAGCTTTTAACTATAACCGCGTTACTCTTCTCTACCTCCTTCCCAGAGGCCCGTCGCTTAATTACGCACAAGGAACTTTTCAGTCTCTTGTATACAAAAGCCATGAGGCAGAAATAGCTTGGGGCTCATGTACTGACGATGGCAGGACTGCAAGAAGCTCCTCAGGATATGAAGCAATTTCGAAATTTATATACCGGTTTGTACTTCACTGGAAACGATGCTGCAGAATGAAGGACAGATTTTCTCCAAATAATTCTGAATGGCTTGAAAAGAGATAAACCCTCTGAAACAGTATCTATTGCTGAAAGCACTCGTTATTCAAGCGTTGGCTGACCCAGAATATTGTTTAAAGAGAGCAGTGATATGAACTAATTTAAGAAGAATAAAATTGTTCATGGTATAGGATACCGGTGGGAAAGCCAGAAGGAAAGAGACCACAGGAAAGACCAAGGCGTAGGTGGGGTGACAATATTACGTAGAATGGATCTTAGAGAGATAGGATGGGATGGTATGGATTGGATAGATCTGGCTCAGGATAAGGACCAGTGGAGGGCTCTTGTGAACACGGTAATGAACCTTCAGGTTCCATAAAATGCTGGGAAATTCTTGAGTAGCTGCAGAATTGGCGGCTCCTCCAGGACTCAGCTCCATGAAGTAAAATTGTTCATGGCTTCGAGAACTTGTGAAGCACTTATGTAGGCCACTCAAGATTGTTTAAACTCATCACGAAAAAGAGATGCCACTGCTATCATGACAGAAGCAACGCAGACAGCATCAGCTAGATCTGGTGAGATTAAATAGGCCCATAGCGCCCACTCTTCCAAATTTCATACAACAGAGAAAAATCTTCAGCATTAGTTGTCGATGTAACAATTACTCAAGAAGAGGGAAGAGAGACCAAACAAGATCATGCGCACTGTACGAGCACAGAGACATGCGTCACACCAAGTTCTCCCTACAGACCCAGACGAAGTACTGACAGTGATTTGGGATTGCGACGACAGCAGGGGTCAAAGCAATCACAAACAAACATTTAGTGGCGATTCAAAATGTTTCAGTGAATCCGATTGTTTCGAGGAACCAGAATAGCGCACTCTGTATAACAACTGACAACTGGCTGGACGGCGGACTAGCCGGAGTTCGAATCTCGGTAGGAGCAAGATATTTCTCTTCTCCACGCCGCCCAGACCGTTTTGGGACCACCCAGCCTTCTATCCAATGGGGGGGGGTTATAGGTGTCGGGGCGTGAATTTGACCACTCACCCCCAACTAGCATGTCGACCGANTCTAATACCTCTGGTAGATGGGGGAAGCATTATAGATACCTCTCAGCTAGTAGAGCAGGTCTCGCTGGCTGGGCGGGACTGATGGTAAGCACCAATACCGGTAGGATATAGAGGCTGGTATAAATCATAGAGGGAAGCACAGTGGACCACTACAGGTCTAAGTGCATGGGGAAACCCACCCTCTCTAATAACTAACTAACTAACTAGACACAAGGACAACTTTACCTTACTGATCGCTTTTTATGTGTCGATGGTGCCCTTATTCACATCCTCAGCCCTGCCGGATACAGAGTTGTTAGTATGGCACTATCCTCAGCCAACAGCAACACGATTCTGTCAGCCCGCAGAACTCATACATGGAAAGGAAACTGCAGAAGTCACAAAAACAGAAATTACTGCAATTGATAAACGGATCCAGAAACTTAATCAGACAATAATAATGATGATGATAATAATAATAATAATAATAATAATAATAATAATAATAATAATAAATAGAAAGAGTTCCATTTGTGCCCCAAATTGGTTTTCAGCTATGGTGGATAGAAATATGTACAGAACTGTCACAAAAATATTACGCATGTGGAGCAATCCCCAAAGAGTTGAACAATTTAGACGGCATTTCAATAAAATTGGAAAACACTACAGATTTTCGGTCAATGGGGCAACAAACGACTGCTACTCTGCCTGACGCGTTTCCAGGAAGCCATCTCCCTTTCCGGCGGTTACAGCCGTTAACGAAAATTTTATTGGAACCACGACAGGCATTGCCCAGTGGCTTTCCCATTGATAGGGACACGACGACAACACTGCCTGCCACCTTTTCAAGAACCTGTCTTTGTTTTCGGCGATTATAGGCGTTAACGAAAAGCTTATTGCCGCTTTGGAACCACATGGCAGACAATTTCCAGTGCTTTTCCCAATTAATAGTGAAACACTTAATTAATATTTCAAGGAAATGACTGTGTTCTGTGTTGCAAGACCATGACTGGCATTGCATGCCTGCAAATGTTCCGCAACGCAGACTGCAAGAAGTATGGTGAAAGGAAATGCTCGGAAGTCCTCGCCAAAGAATGCAGTGGAGGATCTTTTACACATGTTAGTGCTGAGCTCGGATCCAGTCATCTCTCAAATGGAATTATCTCCAAGCAGAGGAGGAGAAACATTCGTCTACTGATATCCAGAGACTTAAGCAGACATGCCATCTGCCGACACGTGTGGGGACGAATCAGTCTTGGAAGCAGTAGCAGCAGTTGTGATGATGGCATCTCTTCAGCAAACAGCCCTCAATAATTTCTGCTGTTCACAAGAATTCAGGAAGGCAGATAACTGTCTGATACGCATAGATTTGTAGGATTCCCCTGCATTTTGCTCATTCTGTTACGGGTGTGACTTGATTCAGTTGATAAATACTGTAATCGTAATTTTATATCAAAACAAAATTTGAATAGCAGTAAATCAGTTTCTTCAGAAGACATTGGCATTGAGACTCCAAAATAATTTTGACGTGCTAGATTTCGAATTTTGTCAGCTGTGTGATGATAGATGTGTCCCTTGCCACCAAGGCGTTCTCAGGTTGCGGACGGAGGAGACGGCCTTCAGATAAGGATAATGATTTTAGTGCTAATGGCGAAGGGTTCACCTGAGTTAGGGCGAAAAATGCCGTTCTTGGGGGGGGATCGAGGAGCACCCAAAAACAAGTGCTATGTTAGTATACCTTCTTACCGATTGTGCTCTCGGCTCTGGCGGCCATTTTGTATTTAGTTAGTGTTGATTGCGTAGAGTTGGCAGTAGTAATGCACCAATAGTGTCATGGCCGTCATGGCCGTCATTGCCATTGAGATGATGTTGACCTTTAAACGAAAGACTTTCACGGTGCTGGTTACCGCATTGTATTTGCAGGATGCTATGCTCACAGCTGATTACCGAAGAATAATAGAAATTAAAGGAATTAGCCTTTTCTCTTGAATCAGTAAAGAGTTGTCCATTACCATCTTTGATCCCAGGAATATTTTCCCTATTGTCTTTATACCTTTTTAATTACTTGCTCAGACGAGCAAATAAGATTAAACCGAATTCTGCGCCACTGCGATCACTGCGGTGTTGCCTGATTAAAATTCCATGTTTTAAGTTCAGTGAATCTTAGTCAGGATTTTTCTAGGGACCACATGATATTTGCGAGTGATGTCATGACCATTAATAGCATGTATTCGACCGGTAGACAGGTCGAAGGAGGAGTTGTTTGTATAAAAATAAAATTGACAAGTCTGTCGTAGACGTCGTAGAAGTGGCTGGTTCCGTACCGTAAGTAAGTATGATATTGTGAAATACGCAACGTATCTGGTGATTCCCTTTCCGTTTTATTTGTGTGCGAAAGTTCGGAACTGGTTGTTATTCCACGGAATGGTACCGTATATTTTCGAAAATGTATAAATTAATGCAGTGACAGTTCGAAAGGTGTAAATAATCACGGTCGAGGTAAGTTCTTAGTAATCTAGAATTTAGTTACCACAAAAATACCAGACGAATCTAAGTATAATTCGAGATTAATGGGATTTTGGACTTTATCCATAGTCTGGTATTCTAAAGAATGCAGTGCGACGTTTGGGAAACCGAATCTGTTTCTGTCGTCAGGTGAGGGGGCGGGAGACACTGGACAGTCTGTACCCGCGAAACTGCTGGTATATATGTACCTGAGATCAGAGTTTGTTAGCAGGAGATAACAGGAGAACATACAATAAAAACTGTGGTAATGCATGTACAAACCAGAAAGTTAGAAAGGGAAGCGGAAAATAGATGTCGTAAATTGAAGCTTTATAGAAATATATTTACGTACTGCTAGCACCATCTTTTGGAACGAAAAATTGAATCCTGTAGCTAACCATGTAGATATTAACGAAGATTCTGGCAGATCATACTGTGAGCTGCTAATGTCATTGCTGATAAGGAGCATCTGTATAGGAGAAATATCTAAAAGGGCATGGCTAATCAGATTGGTTAAATGTACCATATAGGCAGATTCCTTGTATTTACATTGCATGCTATTACTTTCGATTTCCAGAATTGTAGCAACATTTCAGCCTGCCCTGTGACTGTGAAGAATGCCATGTTGTGGGATGTGGCACCATGTACATCTTACGTGAACCGACATTTTGGAGGACCTTGTCGCCTCCATCTTCAGGGTAGAAAAATCCGTGAGTGAAGAAAGAGCGTGAGCAGGTGGCTGCAGACTGCAGCAGATGGAGGCAATACATTCCTCCAAAACGTCCATTCACACAAGATCTACCCAGCGCAACATCCCAGAAGAAGGCATTCTTCATAGTCACTGCTGTGGAAGCCTCGAATTTTCCATACCCTGTGACTGTCTTCATGGATATGTAGGGCTAATTTTGATTTTTCTAGAAAATTCTCTTGGAGATTGTGCTTATTTTCATGGACCGACATGACTGGCGGTCTGCCTTTTTCACTAATGTAGCTTCTGTCTCATTCACAAGGAATTTTATAGATGCAATGTTCCCTCTGTTATTGACCCCCCTCCCCTCTTCCAGTCTGGTTCTTGTGAGTGAGGTGCTAAGAGAGTGTTTTGTTTCACAGATGGTCCCAAAGTAATGATGGTTCCCAATTCATTGGAACTTTTCTGAAATACCCTTCACATATGGGATTTACTCAGAACCAAAAGGCTTTTCATCTTTATTTCAATGCCTGTACCCTCGGAATTAACCAAGTCAACAAAACCATGGTGATAACAATTGACCTGAAGATCACATCCCAGGTTTTCAGTTTGATTGAACAGATCTTGTCATTATTGGCAAGCTCTGTTGTGTGGACTCTGAATTATTCTGTTTTGACATGAGGATAATTAAATTTGAAGTGGTGATATTGGCCAGTGTAGGTGGGTTTTCTGTAAATTTTATTTTCCAGTGCCATCCCTCTCCTGATGACAGAACATCCAGAAAATGTATCACACTTCTTGAGTCTACCTCTATACTAAACTGGATGTAATATCCCAGGCTGTTTAGGTGGCTGAAGAAATTCTGTGGCCTGCCTGGACCATGAGGCCAGACCACAAATATGGCATCTGTGTACTATAGCCACAGTGATGGTTTGTGTTGCACTGAGTCAAGAACCAGATTCTTAAGGGGATAGAGAGCTTCCCGTAACCATACCACATTTCTCTTGGAAGAACTTATCATCCACCTGAATTTCCTGATGAATAGAATTGTGACCTGTTAGTGTCATTCCAAAATATTTCAACTTTGCCACATTTTCAAAGGATCTGTTGTATTTATGTTGTGGTTATGCTCTGCATTCTGTTGATGAGACATCAACGCATACTTAGTTTTCTCTCTGTTTCTTGTAGACCAACCTACTATGAGGGAGATCCAGTAAATATGCCACATATGGAAGTAAAAGTAGCTGTAATGGATGTAATAGGTTTTCTATGTGTATCACTAGGTAGTAGCACAGTCCACCTTCATGACCGTGTAGATAGCAGATGCAAATGCACATGTTCAGAGGCTGGTTTCAGTAGTCAAACTGGTGACCATGCTTGAGGGTTGAACTACCAAAGAGCAGCATTATGTTGTGCGTTTTTGTGGCCAAAAGGATTCAGTACAAAGAGTGTTCATAAAGAAATGTTTTCTGTTTATGGTGGTGTTTGTCACATAAACAGTTCACAAGTGGGTGCCAAATGTTTCACTGGTGATGAAGAGGTTGGAACAAAGGTGTGAAGTGCCTGAGACAACAGTCAAAAACTGTATACTGTGGGTTTCAGCACACTGGTAAAGCAATGGGACAGGTTTATCAATGTTGGTAGAGGATGTGTCTTGAAATAAATGTTTTTCCCAGGATCAGATGTCACATGTTTTACATTTTATATTCATTTATGACCGATTTACTGACTCTCCCTTATAATTTTGTCTATTTATGGGCATAACCTTGAGAGAGAAAATTTTGTTAAAACTGGATAAAAGTTTGTACAGAGTTGATGACAGTGATGTGACTTAATAATTACTACAGTCTGCTTTATGACTCTTCTTTTAATTTGGTACAATAATAGGCTGCTTCCACTGCTCAAGCAGTCGTTTCTTATTCCAACAGAATTAATGAATTTATAGATTTCAGAATGCAATGTTCCACCTTCTGCTGGAATTGCTTAAGTACCATGTAATTTACATCTTTTCAACTTTGCAGTAACAATTTCAGCCTCAGAAGCACCAGGTTCTAGGGGCTCAGCTGTATGTATTTCCCTCTGCATAACCAAATAACTTCATGTACATTCAGTAGATGAGAAAAGTAATATATCCATCTATTCAAAATGTTGTTGAAATCCATAAAAAGCCGATAAAATAAAGCTGTCCTTATAACAGGATTTGGAAGCCCATAGGGTTGTGAGACATTGAAGCTCTCACATCTTCTAGACATTCTGCTCATAGATGGCTGTGAGGTTGTCAGCCTCATGCACCGACCACTCTTTACCCCCAGGAAGATTCTTAGTACTCATATCTGTTAGAGGCTGAGTCAGCCCCAGGGCCATAATGTGGCTGGAAGGATTACGTCAATTGAAAAATGCAGTGACCTCATTGGGAATCGAACTCATGACCTTCTGGCTTGTAGTATAGTGACTCAAGCAACTACACCATTCTCATCCATTACCAGTTTAGTTCTGTGTTGGTAACTTTTCTTAAATTCATTCATTCATTTTTTCAAGCCTCAAGATGTTCATGTTCTTTTTATGTGTTGCAAGCTCATGAATTCCCTCTCATTCCTGAAATGCCTGCCAGCTTCACATCTTACATTGTCCAATTTATCCCCATTTATTGGGCTTGCATCCTGTAACTGTTGTATAGTTCGGCTTGTTGATAGTTCTGAACATCCTCCTTTGAACCGTGTCCCTCTGAATTCAGTAATCTCAGGAGAATATGCTGCCCCTAGTGGCAATGTTATGAAGCAGCAGTGATCAAGGTGGCATACTCAGTAGAACAGTGTGTATATTTAGTGAACACCCACACAACATAATGGAGGCTAACGCCCAAAAAATGTACAATGTGTTGTGCTCAACAAGTAATATTGTTGGGCCAGTCTTTTTCAGTAATACTGTGACTGCTGATGTTATCACATTATCCTCAAACAAGATTTTCATCTGTTTATCCAAGGAGTTGAATGTCATTTTCTGAGAAACATTTTTTCAACATAACAGGGCTCAGTCACACATTTCAGATGTAGTGTTTAATGCAGCCAGTGAGTGTATTGACAACAGAGTGCTGTCTGATCATTATCCTGAACAGTTACATACGTATATTAATGGTCCAGGTCCAAGTTCTATCCAGATCTTAATCCATGTGATTATTTCTTATGTGGTCTTCTGAAAGTTGCAGTTTACTTTAACAAACCACACTCAATCAGAGAATTGAAACAAATATCAACAGCAGTGAAGAACCTTAGCTGCAGTTATGCAAAATTTCATCAGCTGTTGATGGTCACAGACACTGTTGGTGCATGTATTGAAAATGTTCATACATGACTGTCAATCTCCCAGGACTACTGAACTTGGAGACTCCGAATATAGTGATGTTTACTATGTAGTTAGAAAATTATATGCAGTTAAAACTGGAGCATTTTTTTAGATAGACCTCATATTAATTGTTGCAGACTACATGGAAAAATTTGAAACAGTTTCAGTCTACACAGTATAAGTACAAGATACAGATGTAAGCTCCATGTGCCAATCATTAACATCAGTAAATATGATAAAGGAGTTCACTGTACTGGAATGAAATTATTTGATCATCATCCTGAAATCAGAAGTTTAAATCACAATATAAGACTCTTCAAGCCAAATGTTAAAACGGGATCCCCTGTCTCATTCCTGTTCTGTAGAAGAATTTACTGTGATCAGAAATTCACAATTATAAATACATAGAGAAATAATGGTGACACTTCTTTGGTATGATTACTGTGGTATGGTATTGTATTATCAGAAATGTCTGTATATGTATTTATATTGGAAACAAGTATAAAGGAAACAAGCAAAAAGAAAAGGTAAAGTAGTCCTCATAAGAGGCCATTTGGACCCATAGGGTTGTAAGATGAGGCTCTCACATAATCTAGACCCTTGGCTCACAGATGGTGGTAAGATTGTCTGCCTTACATGCCGGCCGCCCTTTGCCCCCAAGGAGATTCTTGGTACTTCTTTCTGTTAGAGGCTGAGTCAACAGTAGTGCCATTGTGCAGCTGGAAGGGTTAGGTCAGTTGAAAAATCCAGTGGCCTCATCGGTAATAGAACTTGTGACCTTCTGGCATGTAGCA